GTTTGATATATAGAGACTATTTCCGATTAATTTTAATAATTCTTAAGTGGTCCTTCATTTATTGGGAGGCACTGTATGTTATTGAAGTTATCAAATAAATATTAATAGAATTATAATAGAATTTTTTAAATTTTTTTGATTTTTAATTTATATATAATTCTAACACAATAGAAATTTGTAAAAATTATTTTTTATATATCATATTATTTTCAAACATATACAGTTTAAAAAAAATTTTTTAAGAAAAATCCTCAAGTATTTCAGTAATTAACAACAGAGTTATGGATTTTTTGATTCGAACTAGTTGCTTTGTACCAATACATCCGAAATCCAACCAATTTTTGCTCCGACTAAATTAAAAGTATGTGAATAAAGAATATAAAGTTACGTATCCAACATTCTATCTTTATTAAATAATAAATTAAGTGTTGAGCCCCGATTGCTTTATATAAATGTATTGAGAAAAAAATTCTCTGAATGTTTTTTTATTAAAGAAAAATGTATAATTACAATTAAGCATCAAATTCTGTTCATTAGTCTAAGTCGAATCTCAGTTGTTAAAAGTTAGAATCTTCTGTTTCTTCGTCATTTTCATATTGCCGCCCCTTTCTTAATCATCGTCGCTATCATCACTGCTATCACTTTCTGCTTTCTTCTTTTCCCCAGCACCCGTTACCGCAGCGGCCAATCCTTGTTCCCTCATCAATTTCATCTGACCTGCAAGTGAATCTTCCTCAGGCTCTGATATTTCATCATCGATCTCGTCTTCGGGTGGAAGTGCCGATATGTCTTTTACAACAAGCTAGAAAATAAATTTCAAAAAACATTAAATCAAACTGTATAGAAGTAAAAAGTATTATCAGAAAATCATACTTACTTTCATCTCTTTCCTGATATCTGCTCCAACGTATGAATCACTTTTGATATACACAACATAAGAGTATAAACCCGGTTCACGTGGAGCTTGGAATTGAAAGTCAAATACTCTGGTGGTTGTAATATCGCTGACTTTAATAGGTTCGATCACGATTCTGTCTTTCTTCTCGTCGGCCATGAAAATCCACCAATAGGGTTTTTTGTCCTTTGACAAATAAGGTGCATGCACCAATGGACTCTTTTCTTGGGAGACAAACTTTCGCTTTTTACCGTACAACAACTCATCTTCGCTATCAATATAGTTGCCTTTTTCGTCATCATTTTCATCATCGCTCTTAGTATCGTTGGATTTCTTATCCACTGCATCATCGGGTTTTGAAGGATCAACAATTTTGACTTTGATCATCAAAGTAACAATGGAACTAACTGTAATGACTTCATCTCCAGCAACTATTCAAAAGTAATTAAAAAATTTTAGTTTCTGGTCCAGGTGCATCAATCTCGGTTGTCAAAATCTTACCTTTGAAATATGCTTTTTCAACTATCATTATAGGATACATCTCGGCAACACGTACAAGGGAATCATATGCAGCTGGATTCGGTAACTTTAATATATTTCTTTGTATAATATTTAAAATATGAATCGTCAATAAGTATTTCATCACAAATATCGATGACCAAAAAAACTAGACTTACTTTCTCTCTTCATCATTCATTGCTCGAAATTGCGCAATGTTTTTTATGACCTTCTTTTTAATTTTCATTGCTTTTAAGACTTCGCTAGTGACATAGGGCAATTGTACTAATTGACTTTCGTTCAACCACATTGCTTGAACTATGAACTGAGAAACTTCCATACAACGAATGCTAGTTTGTAACCAACGGTGTGCCAATGCAATTTCAAGGACTCCATTAATGAGATGAACCGCATGTTCGGCAATAAAATATTTATCTACAAAAAAAAAAAAAAGAAAGAAAATTAGCTTCTGGTATTATGATTACCTTACTGGTTATGTCACGAAAACTTGTGACTACATAGAGAACGACCATACCTTTTAACAATTCCTTATCTTCTACATTTACACGTAATAAATGCGCATACAACAATGCACTCGCTTTTTGACAATAAGGAGATGTATACTTTGTTGCAAGAATAATGATGAGAATCCATTTTTAATTGTAGCTTAACTTCAACAAAAAAAAAACAATGATCAAATACCCTTTTGCTTTTTTCGTATTTCTCGCCAAATTTCTTATCCAATTCATCCTTTACAGCAAGAACTACAGGTCCCAATTTAGTACCATCTGATGATCGTTGTTCTATTAATTTCATATATTCTAATGAGGCGGAAAGCAAGTCCAAGATTTGTTTTATACTGGAATTATCTCTTAATTCTTTAAAATATAATTCCATGGTATGAGTTAAAATCTTATCCTTGGTATAACAACTGGAACTATACCACCAACGACCCTAAAAAACAATATAAATGAGTATTTTCTATACAAAAAAATGAGATCATTAATCGTGTGCATACCACAAAGAATGGTAGTAGCAACCCAAAGGCAATCCCATAAACACCCAGCACAAAAGGACTATTCTTTGCTTCGACTAACCACGTAGGAAGGGCAATACCCAAAGAGTAGGCTATCATTCAAATATATCATTTTTTTAAAAAAATTTAATGTTGGATACATCCTTTTCACAGCTAAAAGTGTGATATTTTAAAAATATCGTACCTTGTTTCCCGTCAGGATGCCCATATTCTTCGTAATTCCTTCGAGTGTCTTCATCAGTAAGCCTACAAAACAAAACTTTATTAATAATATAGTCATTAAGATGAAAAGGCATTGAAAATCCGATACCAACACTTTGTAAGCTTTCGTGAAATCGATAAACTTCTCTTCATGTTCGGTCTTTTTTTCCGCCGGCGCTTTATCTGGATGCCTATTCAAAGTAATTATAAATATGGCGTTTTCTATAAGATTATAAATTTACATGTAATCCCTTCTGCATAGAAAAAACTTGCCATATCAAGCTAAGCTTTTTATAATGTTTCTTTATGGTATCTAATGAATCACCCTTTAGGAAAATTCGAATATCAATGAGATAACTGACTCTACAGACTAATCACACTGTGATATAATCATTACCTCACTAAGTCCTAAGACTTCATAGGGATCCCATATCTCAACTTCAACTTTAACTGTAGATATCCGATAAGCTAAGTATGCAAAGAATATCCAACCGATCACTACCGCGACAGCCCTATTGTAATCGTGTATTTTTTAGTTAAATTTTCTACATACAAAAATTTAATCGATTGTTTTCAAAAATATCTACTTACGTTTTGTTTACACGACTAATCGTCGAAGTATTTTTCTTTGATTTCACCCAATTCTCCTTGACCTTGCACGCATCGCAAAAACAATCAGGCTTTCTTATTTTTTCATCTAAGGAGTACGCGAAAAATGAACTTATTATATAGAACGCAAACCATTCTATCTAATCGTTAATTGCTTAAAAGTTGCACAGCCTTTTTTATTCAAAGATCAATTTAATGATACTATTTTGCATGAAATTGAAAAAAAAAACTCCAGGCAATCCTTAAATCTACATTTTTTACGATATAGGCTGATCCTTCGATTACTACTAACCTTTTTTCAAATTTCGAAGCAAGGATATTGTAGTGGGTATCAGAAAGATTGCTAAAAATGTTATGAGAAAGTAGTTAAAGGTAATGCCCTGTTCGTCATATACGTATTGCATTCTTTTCAGACTAGTAAGCGCGGAATTTTTTTTTCTTTTTTTTTCCTTTTAAAGTTTTCAGTAATGGTTCGTGGCAATGAAAGAGTGGTTTACCGCGAAAATTTTACAAGGTTACACTGCATGAATAATTGATCCGAATTCATTCTAAAATAAACTTTTTATATAAAAAATATTTTAATAATGTCAAATTGTTATAAGTTGATTAAATTAAATATTCTTTGCAAAATAACAAATAAAATATGTACATAAAAAATTTTTAATTTAAATATTATATTATATTTAAAACAATATAAATTTAAATATAAATTAGTATATGGATAATTATTTTTAAAAGATAAATTAGATCTTATAATTGTAATCTTTTTTTTTTTTGCCTCTAATCAGACTGCAAAAGTTGTGTTTATTCATCCAATTTTGGAAAACAGTAGCACAATATATATTACTATACTAAAGCTAAACTATCACATAATTGCAGAACACCCGTCAATGAATTTAGATTTGTACATGATCCTTGAATCCTTAATACCAAGACCACCGTGTTGC